TGGCCCGGCTTCCACCTTGGGGTGCCGGGATTCCGAAAGGAGCTGCTGTACAGGGACACTCAGCAGCTGCGGGTCTCCGCCGCCACCATCCTGGGGTCCGCTCAGCTCGGCTCTCATCCCCGGCTCCCTGGTCACCCTCCATTAGCCCCATCACCCCCGAGGGACACAGGAGACCTCGGCGTTGCCCATCACCAGAGGCATTTCGCCGGGGTCAGGTGATGGGAAAAACGTCCACACACAGAGGCCCCAGTGGGACAGGCCGAGGCCCTAACACCCCAACAATCATTTCACAAATTATCATAATTATCAATCCATCACCCCATCTGGACAACGCTGGCTGGGCCATCGGACGACTTTTATGACCTGTAGCACTTGGTGGGTAATAACGGCGAGAGATTTATGGACCCATCACGCTCCGTCCTCCAGCAGTAGGACTTGATTAGTTCAATTTATTTTGGACTCTCCTTCCCAGCCCTGGCCCTCTGAGTGAGCGCCGCTGGGCGGCCACAGAGGCGCCCTGTTCAGCTCCTGTCCTAGCTCCACCATGCGAATTCCCGGTTTGTATATTGGGGGGGGGGGGGGGGGGGGGGCGTGGCTGGTGAAGAAGGGGGAGGGGAAATAAAAAAAAATATAAAGAAGAAGGCCCCTTTCTTTTGTGCAAACGGGCCCCTCCTTCCTTTTCAAGACGGTCCAGAAAAACGAGAGGCACAGAGCAAAGGCTATCGGGGCCATGTTTCCCCTTTTCATATCGCCGCAGAGATTGGATCAAAATTCTTTTAGCTGATACCATCTCCCCGGGTGGACTACACTCTTGTTAACGGATAAATTCAAGCCCTCCAGAAAGTAAAGAATAAATTTAAGCCTTTTGCCAAATGTCTATCCTATTGGATTTTGATAAGACGGCCATTGAGCCTTAATAATGTCTTCCATCCATTTTCAGCGGGCCCTTAACGCGGCTCTTTATTCGTCCCCAAAGCCTCTTCGCCCGGCCTTTTTATTACGGGCTCTGGCGGGCTCTCCTGGGAGCGGGCCGACCGGAGTGATGGATGGACCACTGGTTAGATTATCTCCCGCAGATGTTTGCTCTCCAGGAGCCCCGGGCTTTCCCTCTAAGTAAACAGAGACTAAATAGAGTCGGCGGAGGGAGTCGTCCCAGAGGTCCTGAATAGGGGACGCTGCAGCAGCCGACCTACAGCCCGAGTGACTTCAGGGGAAAGAGAGAGCGCCAGGGCCGCGCTGGTGGGGTGGGGGGTGGCGGGGGCACCTGGGCTGGAGAGCCCGGTTCCGAGTCTCACCAACAGCGAAAGTCTGGGCTGCTGGGGCCACGGGGTGGACAGGAGGACAGGGGGCTGCGGGGGACAGAGGAGGATGCAAGAATGCGGGGACATGGACGGAGAGGGGGCTGGGAGGGGAGGGGGTGTTGCAGGGGACACCGGGAGGGAGTGTCTGTACTCCCGCCAGACACCCGGCTCAGTCGGCCGGTGGCTCCGCCCCCTTCTGGAGGCGGGGCCGAGCCTGGCGCTGCTCACAAGCTGCTCCACCTGTCACTCCGATGGCAGCCCCGCCCCAGGCCTACTATTCTGCGGCTCCCCATTCGATTCTCACCCCTGCTGTCCGTGTGGACCGGGCCGCCACCCTCACTAGGCCTGGGTCGTTTGCTAGTAAACTCGGAACAGATAGGTTCTTCAGCCCCTTCAGCACCCAGGCTCTCTAATAACGGGAACTTATTACCGCGACTTCCCCACAAAATATGACATTTTCTGCATTTCCTGTGTCAAGCCACTGATTGAGTTAATTAACGTTTCTTACATTTAACTGGTGCAGATAAAGAACAGGAAGTATAATTTCCTGAAGTTGGAATAGATGAAGCTCAGAGATGTCAACTGACCAACCCAAGGAAGCACAGCACCCCAGTGCTCCCCCATCATATGTTCAAGACCCTTGACCACGCGTCTTTGGGGAAGGAGGGGGGGTCCTGGTCAGCCAGACCCAGGAATCCCAAACCACAGAACTGGTAGGTGGGTGTCTACATTCCATTGCCAAGGGATTCACCTCATTAATCTTTAAAATAGCACATGAAAGCACGTATAGTTATACGTACAGTAAGTTTACGAACGAGGGGGGACCCCCTCAGAGAATGGGATTATCGTCTGGAGGACGGGACCCTTGTAGTTCAGGCTTCCCCTGCCAGGTGGGCGCTCCAGGGACCCACCTGTAGCAGTGCACCAGCTGGCGTTGTTGTGAGAGGCTGCGATTGGTTTGGGTGAATTTTTGAGACTCTTTCAACCCATTTACCCATTTCCTGGGTGATTTATGAGCACGCCTGACTACACTGCTGAGTGATCAGCAGTTTTTGACCCAAAACAGTACGACCCCCATGCCCCGCCCTCCCTATTCACCCAATTCCACCCGGAGTGACTTTTTTTTTGTTTCCCTGGATGAAAAAAGTCCACAAAGGGAAATGTGGCCAGTGTGAAGGAGGCGAAACAAAAAAGGAGAGGTCTCTGACTGAAGCTTAAACGTGTGAGAGTAAGTACGCAATTTTTATAAGTACATTTCTGATATTTTGGGCCCCCTCCCATCTCCAACACTGTTCATCGGGCGGGACCTTCCAGTTGGAAGAAAGGTCACGGGAGTGCGGTATTTCTTCGTCTTCTGATCCCACGTACGCACCCCTTTGCCTTGCTCACCTCTGTCTCTGGGCCATCCCCTCCCTCCCAGAGCCAATGGGGACACGAGCACCAGACTTAGGTCCCCACCCTGTTGTCACTGCACCAATCTTGTCACACTCAACAGCCCCAAATACTGATAATGTCTAAGTTTAGTGGGAGATTGGTACAGTTCTGGGGTTCAGGGGGTGGAGGGGTTGGGGGAGCAGCTGGGAGAGTTGGGCAGGGAGCCCCTCAGACCAGCGCCATCTGGGGGTCAGGAAGCTCGTTCCCAGACAGATGGCAGTCAAGGCACCCTGCCCCCTGGTGCCCCACCCCCTGAGCCCCGTCCCTCTGGGGGCCCATGCAGAGGGGGTACCCTGGCCCCCTCGTGCCAAGTTGGGCAGCTGTGAGCAAGGCTCCGGCCAGAGGACGCCCTGCACCCAGCCGTCAGCAGCTCTCAAGAAAGGCCTCTGGACCCCGTCAGCCACGGCCTGTGGCTCCGCCGTTTACAAAAACACGGCTCCAGGAGGACATGCTTATCTTTGTTCTGGTTTGAAAGTGTCACACTTGCTCCTCACCAGTGTTGACCTTAGACTTGACCCTTGGCCTTCTGCCCTGACCCTTGTACCCAGGCTGGACGACTGACTGCCCCTCCCACCACGAATACGTCATCTCTGACCTCCCGCCAGGCCACACCCCGGTCCGGGAAGTCCACCCAGGGTCCGCGGGTCAGGTGCCTAATTGTGGTGTGAGACGGAGCTTTCACCTTCACTCTGGATGTTGAGACAAGAGCGGCCTCGGTCCCTTTTTGTGGGAGGTGACTACACCTCCACCCTGGGTCTGTGGCACAGCCCCTTCACGTCTCTGCCACCACACAGCCCTGCAGACACAGGGCCCTGCTCAGCGGCGGGAACGGGGAGAGAAGGCCGTCCGGTTCGACGGTGGGCGTGGAGAGAGGCCTCAGGCCGCCCCGGGCAGGGGCCGGGGGCGGACGTTTGTCCCGGTGTCTGCTCATACAAAACGGTCCCGCAGGGCCCACGGACAAGGTGGAAAGGTGCCCCTGCCAGAGCTCCTTCAGGAGGTCACCACAGGGTCAGAAAACGTCTTTTTCCCGAAATCCACATCTCTGGGGTTGAACCAGGTGAGAAGGCGCAGATGTCCCGGTCCCTAATACACAGGTCACGGGTCCACCCAAATGGCGAGTCCCCCAGTCCTTTACACACAGGTCATGGGTCCACCCAGATGGCGAGTCCCTGTGCCCCCACCCCATGGAGAACTCTGTCCAGATGACTCAGCTCCAACTGCCCACCCAGGTGCACAGAGAACGTGGGGAAAGTTTGGCCCAGGTTCTCTTGCTGGGAGGGAGGGCAGGGCCAGGGCCAGGACCTGCGAGCTCAGCTCTGTGCCTGAGGGAGCCTTGAGCACGTACTATGGGATTCCAACCGTGAGAACACGGCCGGAGCTGACCGGCCAGTCCCTGCAGCCGAGTGCTGCCTCCTGACCCCGCCTAGGACACGCGACGCCCTGCGCTTTGGAGCAGAGACGCCCAAGGAGAGGCTGCTGCTTTAATTCCCCCGAGACCAGAGTGCCAGGCCAGCACCTGTGTGTGAGTGTGGGCGCCTCAGTATCATGTGTGTACACCGTGTGTCCCATGTGTATCCCGCATTTGCGTGGGTGCCTTGTTCACGGATGGCCCACCGGTGGGGGCTGAGCCCTGTGGGATGACTGATTTTGGGTTTGGCAATGACTTCAGGGCGTGGCCCCTTCTGCCACTGGGCGGCCCCCACCTGTCGACCCAGGGGCACACCTGTCTGTGAGTGCTCCCCCCCTATGGGGGTGGACGCGCTTCTTGGGCCTTGTTCACTCTCTGGATCCCTTAGAGCTAACGTTTGTCACCCAGCTATTCCCCGTCACCGGCCGGCGGAGCCCAGATGGCAGCCAACAGACGCTTTCTCCCGCTAATGGGCTGCTTGCTTGGTGCTGTGCCCAGCCCTCTCTGGAGGCCGAGTGCGGACAGCAGCAGCGTTGGCTCCGCAGCCAATCCCATCTCTTCCTCCCCACACCTCTTCCACGGGAGCGCCCAGTGGAGGCAGGGAGGTGACTCCGCGAGCCACCCGGGTGGCAGAACGCCCACAGACAGGGGCTCTGCTCGGTTCTCCGGGCTGAGCAGAGGGGACCCCCCACTGGCCCGTGGGACCGAGCTGGCCCTGTCCTAACCACAGGGCACCCCGTTCTGTCCTCGAGCAGGCCACGCACAAGGATGGCTCAGGGCCGCTCACCCGCATGCACGCCTGCCAGGCTGGGGAGCCCACAGTGGGGGCCCAGGGGGGCGCGCAGGGGCTGTCCTACCTTTTGGACGCAGCTGTCCTGCGAGGACACCTCCTCCGTCAGCATTTGCTGCAAAACAAGTTTGAAAGGAGCTGTTAGTGTCTGACAACGTGCCACTCTCGGGCCGCGGCTGTGCGCCGTGGGGACAGGTCCCCTGTGCACTGAGATGATGTGTGTGGCCCACTGGCCTTTCATGACATGATAAAAGTGCCCCGTCGAGGGGCTGGGGCCTTCACTCCTGACAGTGTCTCCCCCGTTTGTTGAAAACAGTAAGGACCCCCCTGGGGACGTCCCCTCCCTGGAAATACAGCTCACTCTGGTCCCTCGGTGGCCACGCGGACGCCTGACCCGTCCTTGCTGTTGAGAAGCGTCTAACAAAGTCTCTGCTCGTCCCCTCTGAGTGCCACAAGTAAAGTGGGCGACCTACGTTTGGGGGCGACTTTGTCCGTGTGAAGCCAGCCTGGAGCAGAGTGGGGGCTCCCGCCCGGCTGCTGGGGCACAGGCTTTGGGCAGCTCAGAGAGAGAGAGAGCCAGTTATTTGGGGCTTTCCTCCACGGCCTGACCCGAGAGCTGTCCTCCGCTCAGAAGCTGCAGCCCTTGGCCTGGCGGGCGACTCCTCTTCAAAACCACCAGGTTCCACCCCCCGCAGGCGGCAGGCATTTCAGGGGAGGGTCCCAGAGCACTTTGTACGCCAAGCGAGGTGACAAATCAGCTGCATAAATGGGGTTTTCCCTTCTGGATTGAGGTGCCGCACAGAAACCCGTATAGAAATGGGAACGTCATTTCCATAAGAACGAAAACCCAGACTGAAACTCAGATTCGAAAAATCAAACAAGAAGCGGTGTCAGAACCAGGAGTTTCGTCCCCCTAAAATTACACCGCGGCCTTTCCCATTCCAAGTGTGGAGCCGGGCGCCCACCAGCGCCCGCGTGGGCAGGTGAGGACCAGGAGGCTGAATTCCAAATCGCCGGCACATTTGCCCGGGCTCAGCTGGAATAACAATAAGTCATATATTTTTAAATGTTAAAAATTCTAACCAGTTGGGGATTTTATGTTTCTGTTAATGGACTCTGAAATTGTGGTTTGGAAAGTGACGCCAGCGAATGAGGAAAAGAGACAGAGAAGTGAGCAGGGATGCCCCACGGGCCCCAGGCATCCGCAGAGACCAGGGGCACCGGTGCCCTGTCCCTGCTGGGCCTGGGACGGGACAGGCCCGTGGGGATGAGCCTGGCAGCTGGGGGCCGAGTGCAGCCCGCGGGCAGACCAGTCCCTCTGCACGCTCAGCTGCCTAGTCTTCGCTCTGACCCAGAGCCCAGAAGCCAGCGAGGCCCCATCGGCAACCAGGAAGGCGGAGAGAGGCGGACCTGCCCTTTCTGGACCAGAAGCAGGGAAGGTGTTCTGACTTTTCCAAGGCACACGGTCCCCAGGTCCCAGGACCTAACCACTCAAGGGGCCCCATGACAGAGGCGCCAACACTGTGCTGGCCCAGGGGGTGGCCCCCACCCAGCACCACCCCCGAGGAGGCCGAGGCATGTCCAGTCACCCCGCAACTGCCGGGACCTTTTCTAGGAAGGGAGCTTCAGGGACCCCCATGCACGGACACGTGTGTGCGCCACGGGGCCATGTGACCTCCAGACCCAGCAGGCCGCCTGGGTCGCAGGGCCGCCTGGGTCTCAGGCACTGACTTCAGGTGCTCACTGAAGCCACCTCTGGAAGAGGGAAGAGCAATCGGGGGTGTGATCTGCCCAGGGGCCGGCGTCCTGGAACCCCTTCAGGTCTGGGGTAAGGGAGGGTCGGCCCCACGTGGTCTGGGGCTCCTAAGAGTGAGAACCGGGGTGGGGGGGCACCGGCCCACAGGGCGCCCTGGGCCTCTGGCAGCGGAGATGTCATCGGTGACTCAGGTGCCAGGTAAAGATGAGGCTGGAACCAGCTCCGCCCACTCCCAGGCCTCGTGGTGGAAGGTGCTGTTTCTCTGGGGTCCCCAGAGAAGTGGGGGCTACCTGAACAAGTGACATTGGTGACCACAACTCCCGAGCCCCAGGCCAGCGCGGCTCGCCTCACCCCCCACACCTTACTGCTCACTCCGTCCTGAGTCTGTCCCCGAGCTGGGTGTGCCCTGTGGTCACGCAGGGGCTGCTGGCCCCCGGCTGGGTCTGGCCCGGAGGTCCCTCCTCTTCCGGTGGGAAGACTGAACACTGGAGAGTCCAGGCCAGAGCCCGACTGAGGGTCAGGGGCCGGGCTCACCCCATTGCTCCCCCAGGGCCATCGGCCCCGCATGCCTATGCCTGACACGCTGGTCCCCAACACAGGCCACGCTGGGCCCAGCGGGGGCTGCCCCTCCGCCCCGGCACCTCTCCTGCAGCGCCCACCATTCCCGCCACAGTCGGTCCGGCTGGCTGGGTCTTGACACTGACAGTTGGTGGCCTTGACGTTACTTCTTCCCCCACTCCCCACGACCCGGTCATGGAGAGGTGGCGGCTGGGATGACCGAGCGGGTTCTCACCGTGCTGTGGCCAGCCCGGAAGCACTGGGGTTTCCTTATGGCCACCTCACGGAGGGGTCAGGAAGTCCCTCAGGCCGGGGCCGGGCTCGCAACACAAGAAGGACACCTGTCGGTCTGTCCCATCCTGAGGGCCCCCAGGCTGTCCCAGAACTGTGTCCCACCCCATCAGAAGTCAGCAGTCTGTTGAACGGAGGCCCAGCCACACACGGGCACTCAGCATCCTGGGGCAGGAGGCCTGGATCTGGGGAGAGGCAGTGGGGGTCTCCCTGCTCTGGGCTCTAGACAGTGACGGCCACCACTCGGAGCTCATGGCCACACAGTGGGGGGCCTGGGGTGGCCCCCATCAGCAGCCTGGTCCCCCCAAGCCCCCAGCCCTGCATCTGAAGTGCCCTCCACACCAAGAAGCCCCGGGTCAGAAGACAGCCCCAGGGCTCTCTCAGGAGAGAGCCAGGCCGGCCCCCTCGGCACAGAGCCAGCCGCCCCTGCCGTGCTCCCGGGCTGGGGGCATGCTGGGAGTGCCACCCAGCCTCTCTCTCCCAGATCTCTGCCATCCCTTAACACGGCTGGCCATGGGACAGGCCCGACCGGGTCCCACGGGCCTTGGGCCGAGAGTGGCCAGAGCCACTGTGCTTCACGTCGGAGGCTGACTGTGGCCAGATGGGAGGGAGCGTCTCAGGAGACAGGCCTTCTGTCCCCACAGGAATCGTCTGAGGAGGTCTGGGAAGGGGCTCTGTGATGGTCCCGGCCACCCAGGAGCCGTGCTCCGTGGGGACAGAGAGGCAAGCGTGCAGCCCACACCGTCCCTGACAGGCCGGGACACCGCGTGTGGCATACCCAGCCGGGACATCCAGACAGGACCATGCTCGTCTGCACAGAGCAGGCCGGGCGGGACCAGGGAGGACCAAGACTCCCCGGCTGTCTTCGCAGCTCCTTGGAGCCTGGTCCTCGGCCCCGCAGGGCTGTGGGCAGCTGGGCAGCGTGGTTCCTGAAGCTGTAGGACCTCAGGTGACCAGGGAAGACCCCCCACCCACGTGGCACAGACAGAGGAGGGCATGAGGCCTGATCTGCCCGGTTGCCCCCCGAGAGGAAGCCGGAACAATGACTGAAGAAAGGCCCTCCTGCAAAGGGAGGGTCTGAGCCTCGTTCCAGAACCCGCTGTTCCGGAAGCTTCTCTCTGCCTCCCCTGTTCACAGCGGGCCTTGGCAGGGAGGCATGTCGTTACCTCTGCTCTTCACCCGCCGCTGACCTTGGGTGGACCCCCGCTGGCCGCACACACCCCTTCTGGAGCCTGGGAGCCCGGCCCCCCCAGCCAAGCCAGCGCTCTGCTGAAGCGCCTCTTTATTCTGTGAGCGGGGCCCTCGGCGCGGCCTCGCCGGCCAGCCAGCCGCTGGCAGTGGCGGAGGCCACTCTCAGCCTTGTCTCCACACCCCGGCACAAGTATTAGGTGTGTTTTGATTAAGCATTTTAGCCAAAAACGCGAGGTTTGACCTCCGGCATTTCACTTCTCTCGCGGGTATCGGTGCCAGCACTGAACTAAGTGGGGTTGGTCGAAATCTCTCTTCTGACTCTTAAAATAAATACCCTCTGTTCTCCAAAGAGTCGGCGGAGCAGACAGACAGGCGCACACGATTCGTCCACTCGCAGCTCCCGAGTTCTGGCCTGGCCCCCGCGGGGGGCTGGGCTTTCTGGTCGGCGTCGCAAATGAATCCCAGAAGGCTCTGTCCCTGTAAAGTCATCTGTTATCATGGAAGTATCTGGAAACCTATCCGCAGGAGGAGGTCGACGGAGCCCGGCCCCCCCGCCCCCCCCCACTTCCAAACCCAGAGAAGCGGAAGGAGCTCCCCACCCCGTCCCCCAGCTGCCCTGAGGCCCCAGGGGTCACCCAACACCTGTGTGTAGCGGCCTCTCGCCCTTGGCCTTGGAGCCCAGGCCTCTTTCTAGCTCAGGTGGCCTCTTTATGCCCTGAGTTGGGCCTCTGGGTCTCAAAGTGACCGAAAGCTGCTTAAGCCAAGGCCCCGGCCCTGGGAGAAGCCGGCGTGGCTGGGGGTCAGGGCCGCCTGTGCCGGCTGCTCAGGGGTGTCAGGAGAGGGGGGCCGGCTCCCCAGTGCTCAGAGGAGACCCCCCAACCCCCTGCTGTCTCTGAGCCTCACTCTGCTGGCCTCCGGGGGGACTGGGGGCCACAGGGGCGCAGGGTTTTGTGGGAGACACAGCCCGAGCATTGCAGGGCTCAGTCCCCAAGCAGCCTGTCCTAAGGGCGGTTCTGCGCCCCCTGCACAAAGCCTGCAGTTCGGCCGTGTGAGTTGACAATCGGGGTCCTCTGGTTCTCCGCGAAGCACACCGCGGCACCCTGCCTGCCTCTACCCCTTGGGGGAAGATGACATTTTTAAAGAACAAGCCTCGTCCTTAATTCTGTGAACAAATCACAAGCCCGACCACGAATGCCACCGCCACCTCAGGACTCCAGCAACACTCGATCTGAGGTGCAGTGTGGGGGCCTGCCCCCTGGGAGAGGGGCGGCGGGCTCCCCTTTACTTCTCTTAGCAGCCTCCCCCACCCCCACGGGTCT